CACGAACAGACTAGACAGTCATTTGTCCCATCTGCCTAACTTTCTGCAGAATTAGGAGGTGGAAATGAGGAGGGAGGAGGTAAGGAAAGGAAATTGGCTTGCAAAACTCCACCAGGCTGGATTTACACATGAACAAGGATAGTTTAGCCCCATGTGACTCCGACTCAACATAACATTACATTTACATTTAGAAACATTATTCTATTCTGGATTAATTAACCAGATAACCACCTTGTTCAAAGTATGCAATTCTAAAACCTGAAACTAGCAAATGAACTTCATATTGACACCACACCCTTTGGATAATAAAACCATTATTGTAAAACCGGTTCCAATCTGGGTCACATTAGGGTTAAAGCTCCGCCTTCCCTCTATTATTGCTGTCCTGTGTAAATCCACCCCCTGTTCTCTGTGTCCAGTTCTCCCCTCACTTGGAAGGATTTGATGAAGGTCCACAGCAGGGTCCGAATCCCTTCCCCGCGAGACAGCAGCTTCACCAGCCTCATCACGCGGAACAGTCTGAAGAAGGTGATGGAGATCCTGGCGTTCTCTTCAGAGTTCTGCAGTCCCTTTTGGTGGGGTTTGGTGTTTTTTTATTTTTAGAAAAAACACCGGACGCATGGGACACATGCAGATAGGTAAGGGAAGGAATCACATATACACCCACCCACACACACACACACACACACAAACAGGTAAGGATCATACAAACATACACACGCGCATACATGAAGATATATGGAAATGCAGACAAACAAGTAACATTTATATGCATATTCCAATCCACACATACATGTGATTGTAAATATGCATAACACACACACACACACACACACACACACACACACACACACACACACACAGAGTTAATATATGGAAATCTGCGTCCTAAAAAATCCCATCAAAATCAACTGACAAAGGAGATCAGGGAGAGAATTGGGCAACCATGCTCATTTTTTGTGGCTTCATGGAAAAATCACTTGGCAACAAACAAATAAACAAACCATCCCTCAGCTTTCTCAACTCACCTGCTTCTGTTTCTCATCGTAAACTGAGCTTCATCTAACTGAGCTGTAGGATTTGGATATTCTACAGGTGTATGGACTAAAACTCTAATAGCTGACAATGGTCCAATGAGACTTATGTCAAGAGAGTAGGCTCTTTCACAAATCACAGATAACAATTCACAACAGATACAATACAAACATCCTAACCTTTAGGCAGCTCCCTGTTTCAATAAGTCAAGCAGGTAGGCTAATTTGTCTGTCAAAGGAGAAACTGTCCAACTGAAGTAAGAGTCCAAAGATAACACTGAAATATATTACTGCCAAATGCAGCCATTTTTAAGTAAAAAAATGTTTTCATGGGTGGCAAATCTTTTTATCTTGACCTTCTGTTTACTATGATCGTCTTGAAACTGTTCCCACCCCTGTATTACTTTTATTACCCTTGCTATGAACATGTCATATTTTGCCTCTCAAGGCACCCATTATTTGATAGGCTTTGGAATTTTTGTTTTTTATTCAAATATGTCTAAACTAATTTCTAAAGTACAGGATTCAGACACACTATCACTTTCAAACTCTGTCTACTGTGCCTGAGGAAATAACTCCATGACAAAATATCCAGCCATCTCGCTGAGTGCCATTCTAATTCAGATGCATTTATTTATGCTGGTGCTGCTCATTATCTGGGATGAAAGGTGAAAAAACAAAGGCAATATCAGGATTTGTGTAAAGCATGCTGCAGTTACAGTAATACAACAGCTAAGGAACAGTATATTACCTATAATTACACCACAAACAGCATACATGAATCCAGAGAAACCATTTCAGACCAGTACTTTACCAACAACCATGGCAACATTAACAATGCAAAATGAAAATATTACAATGGTCAAAAAAAAAAAAAATCACACAATCAACATCTATCTAAACACTTAGAACTGTTCATATATCTTACTGTCTCTATGAAACCATAGCAGTGCCATAATCCATCTGTCTGATGTGACCTCTGAAACTCTCAGTGCCATTTGTGTTTTTCCAAGAAGCCACCCATTCTCTATGCTAATCCCACAGAGAACACACACTGTGCTCCTAAAAAGAACTTGCCATTCTCCACACATCTTACTGCAGTATGGGATAACAGATATCATGTTACTTTTCAACATAATATTGATCAGGTTTCTAAAATGTTCAATAAAAATCAAAGTGTGAAGAACTAGCTGAACTCATTTTTATTCTATCATTCTGAAATAACGGGCAGAAGGTTTGGTGCTTTCTAAAGGTCTAGTGTTGACAAGTAACTCAAGACACGAGTTGTCCCAAACTCCACTAAGAGATACGTGGAAAATGACACATCCTTCTTAGGAGAATAAATAAAAGCTCTGTACTGTAATACCACAACTGGACCACAGTACGAACCATTGCACCATTGAGAGAGTCAGGGAAGTGAGAGGGGGAAGTACAGTGACAGGAAGTGTAACAGAGAGAGACAGAGAGAGACTGAATACGAAGAGTAATCTGAATTATTCAGAGACATCCAAACAAACAGACAGACAGATATACAGACAGATATGCAGACAGATAAACAGATAGATAGACAGATAGATAGATAGAAGGCCAGTGGAGAAGAATGGAGGAAATTTGTGACAGTGATAATGTGACCATGATGACTTGCACCGAGGATGAAGCACTAAAGATAGCACGCTCATAAAGGAAGGGGGAGCAAGTTGCAAGCCATGGGGGAGGTGGGGACAGTAGGTGCCATGGCAACAGCAATAGCTACTCAAGAAAAAGTCACAAGACTCCACTTCTACCAGGCCTGCACAATACAGTGTCCTTCACCATGCACACATATATGATATGATTCCGGACATGCTGCAAAAGATGAGCGACAGAGGAGCAATGATGGGGTGAATCAGGAGCCAAAAGTTTTGGATCATACCATGGATGATGTAGCAGAAGGAGGGATGGAAGGATGGAGGGATGGAGGAATGGTGGAGGAGGCAGGGAGGCGGACGAGGTTACCGTTGGAGCGTACCATTGGCCTTACCACAGGGGGGTGAGAGGAGGAAGAGGAGGAGGAGGAGGACGAAGAGGAGGAGGACGAAGACGAGGAGGAGTCAGCTGGCTTTAAGGAAAGGCAACAAAGATCAGCACCAGAGCAGGGCCTTGGTGTGTGTATGTGTGTGTGTCACTGTGTATGTACAGTAGTATGTGTGTGTGTGTGTTTTAATGTTTGCATGTGAAAAATATTGCAAATTTTGCACTTGCCCAAACAATAACCAAACAAAAACCACCAGGCTAGTGAATGGTTCAGTCTCTGATTAACCAGAAAAGTGATAAACATAATTTCATCTGGGCCAGGAGGGACAATTCTGTAAGACTTTACTCATACAGTGGCTGGACCCATAGTCTATGAGGACCAGATCAGGTTGAATCACTACTTATCAGAATAGTAGAAGACTGAAGTATGAAGAATATTAGGAAAAGTTGTCCTATGCTTTGATGGCCAAAATAATGAATGATGGTCTGGGGAAACAACAGAGGAGGAAAGCGCTGATTGTGTAGATATCTGTGTGCAACATTTACATGTAGGTCATGTGAGTCCATATCAATGCATGTATGAAGGGAGGTTGCAAGGACAGCTCTGTAGCTATCTGTTTTTCTTTCTGCCAGCTGAAGCTACAGCATAGTGGTTAAAGCCTTAGCCTAACCCAAGCTACAAAATGCGCCTTGGCATTAAAGAAAAATGCCGGGTTTGAATATGTGTTATTCAAGCTGTTTGCTGAGGTGAGAATAGCCCAGACCCAACTGAAATTAAATTGGTGTGGATATGTTGTTTCCAATAATTGTGAATTTATCAGGCTACAACTTAATCTACTTTCAGGTCAAGAAGGCCTCTGAATACCATAAAAAAGGACAGGAAGCGGTATTCATCTCAGTCAGTTTCACTAATGAAAAAGCTGACTTCAGATGTTTTTGTAATTTGGAGCCCAAAATTGTTTAAATAATATTGAGAAGCACCTTGAACTGCCACCTTATTGTGGTGGAGGGGTTTGAGTACCCGAGTGATCCTAGGAGCTATGTTGTCGGGGGCTATATGTCCCTGGTAGGGTCTCCCAAGGCAAACAGGTCCTGGGTGACGGGTCAGACTAAAAGCGGTTCAAAAGCCCCTTATGATCAGACTAAGATCAAGTCCCGTGACGTCGCCCGGCATGGCGCAGCCAGGGCCCCACCCTGGAGCCAGGCCCGGGGTTGGGGCTCGAATGCGAGCGCCTGGTGGCCGGGCCTCCCCCCACGGGGCCCGGCCGGGCTTAGCCCGAACGAGTGACGTGGGGACGTCCTCCTGTGGGCTCACCACCTGCAGGAGGATCCGTAAGGGGCCGGTGCATAGTGGATTGGGCAGCAGTCGAAGGCAGGGGCCCCGACAGCCCGATCTCTGGACACGGAGACTAGCCCTGGGGACATGGAATG